CGCTGCCGCCGCCTCCGCCTCCTCCTACTCCTCCGCTCGCATGGGGGCCGCCGCCCTCGGCCCCACATAACGGGGGGTTGCCCAGCCCCGCCAGCCGCCCCCGCCATGCCGGCCGAGCCCCCCCGCTCCGCCCCGCCGACGCTCCGCGCCGCCCGCCGCAAGCCGCTGCCCGAGGTAAAGGGGGAAAAGCATCGCCCGCTCCCGCGGGGGGCTCCGGGATGGGGATGGGATGAGATGGTGTGGGGTGGGGTGGGGGGGTTCGGGCTGCGCGGGGAGGTGCGGGTATCCCCGTGTCCCCCGGCTCGGAGTCCCGCTCTCTCCCCGAAAGGGTCCCCGGTCCCGCTCCGGAGTGTGGCCGCCGCGGGCATCCCGCCTCGTTGCGGTATCTCCCCCCCACCTCCCCGGGCAGGGGCTCCCCCTTCTCCCGCTCCCAAGCCTGATCCTCGCCCTCTCTCCAGGGCAGGGCCGTGGGCCAAAGGGCCCCGCTGTGGCTGCGGGCCCGCTTTCAGGCGCTGCTCTTCGCCCTGGGCTGCCGGATCCAGCGGCACTGCGGGAAGGTGCTCTTCGTGGGGCTGCTGGTGTTCGGGGCGCTGGCCGTGGGGCTGCGGGTGGCCTCCATCGAGACCGACATCGAGCACCTCTGGGTGGAAGGTAAGAGCCGTCCCGCGGGCTCCGCCGCCCGTGGGAACGGTCCCGGTGGCGGCTTTGTGTGTGTGTGTGTGTGTGTCCCCACCGCGCGGGGTGTGGAGGTGCGGGACCGGCCCGGAGGCAGGTTGACAGCGCGGGAGCGGGGCGGGAGGATGAGGATGATGATGAAGATGCCGCCGGGATTCCTGCGTGCGGGGCCGGGGAGGTCCCGTCTGCGCGGCGGCTCGGGGCTGCGTCTCTTCGCGGGTGCGCGGTGCTGAGTCTCAGTGGGATTTCCCCCCCCCTCCCCACACACACGCGTGTCCCGGCGGGGGTCTGCCCCCCCCACACACACACCCCAAAGGTGCGGTGCTGTCCCCGCACGGGCGGACACGTGCGGCGGGGACGGAGGTCGGCGCTGGCTGAGCGTGCGGTGTCCCCCACGCGTGGGCACCCCCTTTCCGCGGCGCCGTTCTCCCGCCGCCGGGCCCCTTCCCTGCGGGAAAAGCCCCCCTGGGGTGGGGGACGGGGACGGTCGCAGCCCCGTAGTGGGGTCGAGCCGGTGCTGCGGGGCTGCCGGTCCCGGCTCAGGACCCCAGCCCTGCGGGGACGGAGGAGCGGGCAGGGTCAGGCAGGAGCAAATCCCCGTTTCCGAGTGGAAGCGGCTGATCCCCCTCCTTTGTTATTAATAAACTCCAGCGTGGATTTTTCTCTCCCCTCTCCCTGCAGCTCCGCTCCCCAGCCCTGGGATTTGCTTTTTTTTTTTTTTTTTTCCCCTGTGCCTCCCTCCTGCTTTGGGGGTCCCGGGGGGAGGGGGGATAGCACCCTGCATCACATCCCCCCCCTCCCAGCCAGGGCCTGGCAGCGATGGGGGGGGGGTCTCCCAGCCTGGGGTCCCCGGCGGGGTGCTGTGCAGGGGCAGATGTTGCTCAGCGGAGGGGTGTCAGCCATCTTTGTGCGGGAGCGCTGCCTCCTCCCCCACGCCCCGCTCCCTGTGTGGTCCTCAGCTACTCTTGGATTTGGTTCAACAATAGAAGCAACTTTGCTCTCCCACCCCCTTTTTTTTTTTTTTTTATTAAAAAAAAAAAAAAAGGCCCTGCGCTCCCTCACTGCTCACACACAGATGCACGCATGCACCCCTGCCCAGGAATGCCCAGCTCTCCCACCTGCTCCCCACTCCTGGGGGGTGTTTGTGTGTGTCCCCCCCCGCCCCCCATCACATCTCGTCTCCATCACCCTTTTCCTCTGCAACACGTAGCAGAGAAATCCAGTGATACTCCCGGTCCGTCCGGCGCCTGAGCGGTGGCTGCTGGAGGAGGAACACGCTCCCTCCGTGGTTCCCTTTGCTCCGGGTCGTGGCTCTGGCTCCGTTGGATTTTTATCGTGCTTTTGGGGTTGCAAGGAGTCAGCGTTTGGTGCAACCGCGGACGGAGCCAGGGAAGTGGCTGTGGTTGTTCCTCTTGGGGGGAACGGGACTTGCGGCACATCGGGGTGGGGAGCAGGATGGGGAAGGGGCTGAGCCTGGGGATGGCTGGAAGTGCCCAGAAACCCAGCTCTGTGCCCCACCATACTTCCCTGCTCGCAGGGGTATGGCTGGGAGGGATGGTGGCTGCTGCTGGGGGATATTCCCCCCACACCGTGGTGTGGCTGTAACATGGGTGCCAGGGGCTTCTCCAAGGAACTGGCTCTTCCTCATGGCTGGGGCATCCTCTTTGGTGTCAGGAGCTGCTTTTTATTATTTTAATTTTTTTCTTACCCTGTGGTGAAACACGGCTGACCTGGAGTGTCCTGACCCTTCCCAGGCAGTGGGTGCCCTGGGCTTTGCGCACAGCCCCTGCTCTGGATCTGTAGTGCCGGGGGTGAGGATGGTGTGTGATGCTGGGGGTGCTCAGTGGGGTACTGCTTGGGCCCCCCCCTTGGCCTTCCACGGTGGGCTTTTCCCCCAGGAGTGTGCACTTGGGGCGGACCCCTCTGTGCTTTGCTCCTGGGTGGCACGGCCCCAGCATGCTCAAGGAGGCTGTCCTCAGGTGTTGGCACTACCTGTGACCACCAAGGACGATGTGCCCCGGGTGGCTTCAGACCATTCTGTCCCCAATGGGCATGTGTAGGTCAGGATGTGGAAGGTTTGCAGTGGCTCTTTCAGTCTCTGTATTTCAGCTGTGGGGCTGCCTCCCTTCCCCATAACCATGTGTGCGTCCTTGCGTCTCCAGTGGCCTCTGCTTCTGCATTTTCTGGCGAGATCAAAACATCCTCTGGCATCCTTGGGTGTACCCAGTCTTCTCTGGTATCTGGACCCCATCGTGGTGTGGGGATGTGCATTACTAGGAGGCAGGAGGGCCTAGGCTGCCACTGGGGAGCAGGTTGTGGTTTCCCAGACTGTGGTTTGCATCCTGAGCAATTTAAGCTGCTTCTGGATTCTCTTGGCCACCACTTTCTCCTGTACCCGGGTGTGTGTCCCCCTCTGCAGTGAGTCTGGTACTGCCATGCCAGGTCAAGGCAGTGTAACCTTCATCCCTGGGCTGGGAAATCTGGGTACCCTCATCAGCTTGGCCCCAAAGCCTTGGGATCCCCAGGGTGCCGGGTGACCCTGATTCCTGCGCTCTCTGGGTACATGTGGGGAGATGTTTGCAGGAGCGCTCCATCTCAGCCCCAAGGCAGCACCGTGGGGTGTCTAAGGGCCAGTGCATGTCTGCAGTGAGTCCTGATCCCATCATCCTAGCCTGGTAGCTCCTGGTCAATCCCTCAGCTCAGAGACAGGGTGGCTGAGGGTCCCGGGAAGCCTCTGATGGCCCTCTGAGTCTGGTCTGTACTTGCTCACCTGCCTCTGCCTAGCCAGGTTGTGGGGGAGGGAGGGGTTGGTGATGCTCCAACCCAAACCACCTCACCCAGGGGAGATCCCAGCCCTGCAGGAGCGGAGCGTGACCCTGTGCTGGGCTGTCCTCACTGCAGGCTGAGCTCAGCCCTCTGGGAGCTGGGTGGGTGCTGGTGGGCCAGAGAGGGAATGGAGCTGTTTCCCATGGGGGTACTGTGCTGCTGTGTCCCCCCCCAGGGGAATAGGATGGGCAACCTTGCTTTGCCCTCCATAGCTGGGGTCAGCGTTGGGGCTGCGCTGATGGCAGGTCCACCGATGGGTCCCTCTGAGCCTGGGCTGTGACCCCATCCGCTGTGGGAAAGTGCAGGGTCCCCTGTCCCATTTTAGGGCTGGGGGATGCTGGTGGTGCCCTGGGGTTATGCCTGACCTGCATCCCTGTTTAGGAGATGGAGGGAGGCTGTCACCCCATAAATTGGACTCGACTGTGGAAATGTTCAATTAGGCTCCTCCGAAGCAATTAGCCACTCGGAGGCTTTGAAATCCCGGCTAGCGGCGAGTGTTGAGTTACCTCTAGACACCTGGCAGCTGTTCCCGGCTCTCCCAGGGCGTCTGTAGGGCCAAGGGGCCGGGGCGGCGAGCTCCGGGCAGGCAGAGCCCTGGGTGGTGAATGGATCTGCCTGATTTATAGCACCGAGGGCTGGTTCAAAGGAAGGCCGGGTTAATTCCTAACCGGAACAGCCCAGCACCCCGCACAGCCGTCGCGCTCTCAAAGAGCTGCCGAGTCTCCCTGGAGAAGACCCTGATCCTCTCCTGGAGGGGTCAGGGACACCCCGAATGTGCCGGTGGGGTGAAATGGGATGCATGTTACGGAGGCAGTGGGAATTTGCTGCCTCGTTCCCAGCTTGGGGCATGAAGCAGAGATGTCGCCAGCCCCCTTAGCAATAGTTTTTGTCCTTCCTTGACCTCTGCCATAGGACTTGGCACAGGGCATCCTCTCCCTTGGCACCCAGGGCTGGGGCGCAGCCCAGGGGCTCCCCCTTGGCAGGGACCAGTGGGAGATGAGACCCTGGCTCACTCTGTATTTGCAGAGAGGGGAGCATTTGGGATGGGAAAGCCTCAATGAAAAGCCAAGGATGGGGATTCAGCGCCCTCCCCACATTGTGTCTGCCCTGGGGAGACTGTCTGTGTGGCTCCTCTCCCCACTGTATGTGATGGGATCCACAGCAGGGTGTGGGGCAGCAGATGTTGGGGGAGCGGGGTGCCGTGGCCATTCCTGGGTGGGCATAGGGAGAGGTGGGTGGTCTTGTTGCTGCCGGCGGGTGGGTTTTGTGGGGTGAGAGATCGGGGCTGAGAAAGGAGCAGGCGAAGCTGGGGTGCAGGGGTTGGGGGGCTGCAGGGAACTGGTGCCGGCAACATGGGGGGCTCTGATGGCGGCTTGTCCCTGCGGCAGGGGCAGCGAGACGCTGGCCAGGATCTGGCCTAAGCCAGCCTCACACCCAAAGGGCGGCTCCTGGGCTGCCACGTCCCCATTCTGTCCCCAGACAGGCGTCCCATGGGGACAGGATCCCTGCTCCTCTTGGGGTGCAGTGACATAGGTATCGCCCCACAGGGAGGGAAGGGGCAGCCCGTGGTCCCCAGCGCTGCCCTGGGGACCCCCTTGCCTAGCCCGGTGGGATTTTTCCTTTGGGACCCTACAGTCCTCTCTGTTTGCAGGGTCTGGGCATCCCTGGGACCCTCGGGGGCTCAGAGGAGCGAGGGGCAGCCGAGCGTTGCTGCCATGGGGTTCCAAGGCCCCCGTTATCCTAAAATCCTGGCTGGCTCTGCCCTCTGCTCCAAAGCACTTTTTCCCCTGCAGCCCCGGCTGGCTCTGAAAGGACCTTTCTTTGCTGGGGGAGGGTACTCGCCCGGCAGCCCCCCCTCCTGCCTTAAGATGGGGGGCAGGCAGTTCGCTTTTATTTATTTATCTTCGGGAGACGAGCGTGAAACCTCTTGCTTTTCCTTTTCCCTTCCTTGACAGCTCGGTTGGCTTTTTCGGGCTGGAAAATTTTGCTAATTAACCCAAAAAGACTGGGAGACTCTTTACGGATGGCTGTGGCTTATCTGCCCCTATCCATTTTGCTTCGCTTTTCAACTTACGTATATATATATATATTTAATTCCTAGAAAGTGTTTTTTTTAAACTTCGACATATCCACGGACTTAGGGAGGGGGCTCTCTTTTTTGCGTTTTAAATGTTATTTGGCGGCTGGGAGGGGGCAGCGCCAGGGCCCGAGAAGAGGGTTTTATTATCTGCCTCTCCCTCGGGCCTGGAAAAGTGGTCTGAGTTCAAAAAATTCATTTCTTGCCTGAATGAAGCCAGCAATGTGGAAAAATTTCACCATTCAGAGGGGGATGAATGTATGTTTCAACCACACATTAAGTGACATTAGCAAGCAGTGGAGTGCCTAATGTGGCCATTTTTCACAGCAGCCAACAGAGGGGGTGATTAGCATAATTAGTACAGGCAGCCCTATACATATGGAAATGGCAAATGCCTAAATGCCAACACCAGTGGAAATTTATGTCAATGCTGACAGGAGTCTTAGCGGTGAATAGTTCCCAACTGAATCCCCTCTCCCCCCCTTTTTTTTTTTTTTTTTTCTTCTTCTCTTTTTCGGGGGTCGCGCTGTCCCCTCGGTGCCGGCCGGGGCGGTGCGAGCTCCCGGCTGCCCCCCCCTTCCCTGCGCTGGGAACCGCCGCCCCGCGATTTGGGGTAATAAAGACATTAATTTAGCTTCGCCTTTAAACAAAAGGGTTTGGCCGGGGCCGACGGCTGGGGAGCTGGCCCCAAACGGGCCCTTTCAGCCCCTCTGCCGCTGGCTTTTTGAAGGCAGCCCCCTCTTCTGCCACCCCTCGTGCCTTCGCCAGGCGGTGGGAGCCCCTTTGGTGGGACCGGGTTTGATCGGAGGCGCCGGGGCGGTGGGGAGCTCCCGTTCATCCCTTGGCATCCCCCACCCTTTCGCCGGGGCCGGCCCCGCACCGTGGGGTGAATGGGGCCGGGAGGACGTGTTTTGACAGGATGAGGCCGCGGGGCTTTTGGCGAGGCCGGCGGTAGCAGCCGGGACAGGTAAAAATGGCTCTTTCAGCGTGCCCTGGGCGAGACTTCCTCCGGAGCAGCATGGGTCCTTTCACTGCCTCCCTAATCCAGCTAATCCGCCCCACAACACTTTGAAGGTGGCCTCCGGCTTGCGCGCCGCTCGGCACGGGGAAGCGGCCGGCTGAGGGATGCTCGGGGCGGTGCCTTGGGACCCCATCCTGCCGGGATGCGGGATGGAACACGGGATGTGGGGTGGTGCTGGCATATCTCCGATGCTCCTTGAGGGCTTTAATCACCCAGGGGTGGGCATATCTGCTGGCAGGAGGCACTTGGTCTGTGCTGGGGGTGGCTCAACAGTCCGGTGTTTGCCTCCATGGGTGCCCCTGGAGAGGGGAATCCCCTTGGGGATGGCTTTTCCCCAGGGATCTCAGCATGGCCTTGCCCCCTTCCCGGCTGTGGACTTGAGCAGGGCTTTCTAGCCCTGGCATTGGGATGTTGTGCTGTGGAAAGGGGACCAGGGGACACTTTCTCCCTGGAGACCACCCCACTTACTGTCCCCAGCTCTTCCCTCGCTGGGGGACATGGCTGGAGCTGGGGTCAGGGCTGGCCTGGCTCTGGGACTTGCTGGCCCAGGGACAGGGCTGCAGCATCTCCTGTGCACTAGCTGAATCTGGGACTTGCCATGTTTGTCACCACATCCCATAGCTCTGTTATCCCAGGCAGGAGGACAGTGCCTGATTTTTCTGAGGCCAAATGAGGACGTGTACCCAGGCGTGCTCCCTCCCTGCCACCCTGTCCCACCCAGGTCACCCAAGCGGTGGTGATGACTGGCTGGTGGTGCCCAGGTCCCACCTGCAGAGTGGTTGATCACACTGCTGTTGATCACAACCTCCACTTGCCTTGGAGGGGGGGGGACACACAGAGTGGTCCTTGCAGCAGCGTGTGTCTCCCTGGGGGACACTGGTGCCTCTCTGTGTCCCCCAGCACTGCCATGGCCCTCCCTTACCTCCGTCTGCTGTGCCCTTGCCAGGCAGGGAGGGCTCAGTGTGGGGCTGGCAGCCTGCCCCGACCCACTGCCCCCCCATTGCTGCCTGGGCACGCTGCCCCGGTGTGCTCAGCCCGCTGCCCCCCCCGCCCGTGGGTGCTTGGGGACAGGGCCCCCATGGGGTTTGCCCACCTCCTGCCCTGGGTTGGCACCGGTGGATGTCCCCTTGCTGTCATGCCAGGTGGGGTGGCTGTGTGGGGGTGAGCCCTGTGCCGGGGGAATTTGTAGATGTGCTTGGGGAAACAGGACCCAGCATGGGTTCCTCTGACCCCAAACCCTCTGAGCTGAGTCTGGGGGTGCTGGCAGCCCTTGGGGGGATGTAGGGTGAGCTTGGGTCAGATGCCTTCCTGGGCAGGGGGGTAAGGCAGGAGCTGGGGTTTTGTCCTGGCTGGGAGCAGGAGCAACCCCTTTTTCCGCCTGTGATTGAGGCTCCCCATGGCTGGCAGCGGGGGGAGAAAAGAGGGGGGTGGCTGGCACTCACTGGGGCAGCTGAGGGCACAAGCCAGTCTCACTGGGCGAGGGTGAGCCGGCGGCTGCGGCCGTGGGTCCTGTGCCAGGCGGGTTTGGGGAGCGGTGGCGGGGAGGGGTGGCTCAGGCAGGGTGGCCGGGAAGGGGGGCAGGGAGGCTCCTGCCCTGCTCTGTAATTTTGCGGCGGATGCTGTAATTACGGGGAGGGCTCCCCCAGCGTGGCCCGCGGGCGGGAGGCAGCTGCACACGCAGCCACCCTCGCTGCCGGGGACCCCGTCACCCTCCTGGCTTGGGGCACGGTGGGAGCCTGCTCAGCACCCCGGGGATTTGAGGTGCGGGTGGGCACGGGGTCCCGTCCACCCTCCAGCCCATAGTGCTGTGTGCTTGGACCCTGTGACCCCCCCACACTGTGAAACCCTTGGGCCAGTGGTACCCAGAAGCGGTGTCCACCCCAGGGAGGATGCTCGTGCAAGGCACGGCCGCCCCTGGGGACTGTCCTGCCACCATGGGGTTTTGGGGGTGTGGGGGTCCCTTTGCCCAGCCCCTAGGGATCCAAGGGCTGGTGAATCCAGCCCCCGCCGGGGAGTGGAGTGGGCTGTTAATAAGCAGGACCGGGGCGCCTGATTGGAACCAGAGGGCCCTTTGCATGAAAAAAGCCGAGGGCTCCCTTTGTTAATTGGAATTAAAAAAAAAAAGAGAGAGAGAAGATGAAGAATTTACATACAGTTCCTCATTAATGTGCTCATTGTTGGTATCGGGGTGCCCCCCCTGGCCCCCTCCCCGGGCCGGGGGGCTGCGTGCGGTGTGGGGCGTCTCGCCCCGCTCCCGGCCCCGGGCCGGC